CCTCGGACACCCTGTGTGTAGTGATGGGAAGAATTAGTGAAATGGTGTGACATGAAAAAATAATATTTGCTTGCATATTAAAGCACAATAGATCATCGAAGGTCTTGGTGCAAGGGCCAGATTTTATGGCCCACTCTTTTGTACATACATACATACCGGCATATTGGTCATTCCATGGAAAACCAACACACCTGAAAGTAAAATTTACACCCTACCATCTTGTATTATGGTGAAGTTTCGTATAAATATTGGTCACATAGCCAAACTTTTTATAAGATTTGAGGTTTTCACGGCGGTGACTGAGAAGAAAGCCGTCTTCTGGGATTTGACGCCATGTAGATATTGCATTATCTGTCAGCACTTGTTCACACCAGTTCCTCACTCACAGATTTTTCTTCTGCCCTGAAGATGGAGATGATAGGATCCTCCAAAACGTCAGTTAAAACAATATCTACATCCCAGAAGAAGACGGCGTTCTTCATCTCTCTCTCTCTCTTTTTTTTTTTGCAAATTTCTGTCAGGTGTTCGTTTTAAATACAGGACATTAAGAATTCACCCTCACCACAGTAGGAAAGGTATATTGGTGCCCATAGGGTTGTGAGATGTTGAGGTTCCCACATTTTCTAGACACTCGGCTCATAGATGGTTGCAAGGTTGTCAGCCCAATGTGCCGGCCACCCTTTACCCCCAAGAATATTCCTGGTGCTCATTTCTGTTAGAGGCTGAGTCGACCCCAGGGCCATAGTGTGGCTGAAAGGATTAGGTAAATTGAAAAAAAATCCAGTGACCCCCATTGAGACTTGAACCCATGACCTTCCGGCTTGTAGCATAGTGCCTCAACCAACTGTGCTATCGCATGCCCCACATCCCCCTCTCAGAGTGTACAAAAATGGTTTTTCACCCACAAGGACTTCGGAAGCTGTATGAATTTGTAAATAAATTCAGCATTTTTTGGGGTTTTTGTGCTAAACAATATTGTACATAAACACTTTATAAGAGACTAATGTTAGATGAATTAAGGTTCAGTGTCTAGGAGATGTGCAGCGTTTATATATTTAAGTGTTATAAAGCTCATCAAAAAGTACATAATGAACTTAGCATTAGTGGAATACTGATATTTTGTACCATGGCTTGAAGCAGGTAGTGTTATGATGTGAGACATTTTTGTGTACATAATTGCCAATAGTGTTACCAAATTAATGGTTTACAAAAATTTACTCTGCCAAAATCTTGAAACCATCTGAATGTTTCACATTTAAATTTGGAATGGAAGTATTCAGTAGTGCCTTTAAAGGTTCATTTTGGTCAGCACTAAGCAGACTGTGTTATTAAAGTGATGTAATGGGAAAGAAACCATTTTGTAAGTTAATTATATTTTGAAGTTATGGCACTTGCAAATAACACATGTTCCTTCAGCCAGGCTTCAGGTCTTCTGCTTCAAGAATGTGGTAGAATATGATCAGAGTGAATAGTGCACCACATTTGTAGCAAAATTTGAAGACTTTTCTGCAGAAAAGGAGGAAATGTTGCAGCTGAGGTCTGGTTTGCTTTGCTCATGAAGATATTTTCATGAAGTTAATTGAGCTGAGACAAAAAGTATATAGTGTTCCATTTCATAATCATTTCTTGCACTCAGAAACTAAGGATTTACTTACAGTAAATATTGAAATGTATGCTAAATGCAGACCCTTTCTTCATCTTTGTGCTGAATCATGTAGGAAAAATTCTCTGCTGTGAGTAACTGAATAAAAAGAATCAAAAGTAAGTGAATATGAAGTGAAGAAGGATACTAGCATGATGAAGTAGTTGAATATGGTACTGTGCAAGACATAATATTTCATCGTGATTGGTAAATCACCAATTAAGAAAGCAAAACTAAAAAGAAAAATTTGTACAAATAATAAATTGAAGACAGTATTTGGGGTATTTCAGAATCAAATGAAAACACTACCACCAATAGAAGTAAGAATACATGAACTTGTCAAGGTAACAAATTCTTCATCAGATGAAGGAAATGATAAACGTAATTTAAAGAAAATTCACAAATCAGATTCAGAAAATGAAAAAGTAATAATTTTAACTCTCCTTCCATGAAGTTTGCATGCAGTGTACTGCAGGAGAATTTTAAATGTGAAACTTGATGGCAGAGAAAGCTAAATACGTGTATTTAGCCAAGATACCTGGAGTACTTTCAACTCCTAACCCTCAGCATGGCAGAGTTGGATGCTATCAACTGAATAATGCCTGGGAAAAGAGATTTTATGTCTGTCAAAATAAATGGGAAACATGCATGTGCAGAAATGATTAATACTTGACAATATAGTCAATACTACGTGTATACTGCTGAACACAGAGTGAACTGATTTGCGCATAGGGTTATAAATCGTGANCTAAATGATATTTAACATACATTTAAAGTGATTTGCCTGGAAGTGAGAATTTGCTTCTCAGAGGTTTGTGAGCTTCGATGAAAATGTTGCATTATGGCTAAGATTTCTGGAACACATTTTGTCTGTATATGTGTAGTACATTAAAATGTTAAATTGATGGCCAGTTGAATAAAACTAACATCTAACAAGTGACATGAACTTGGTAATCAGCATGTGAACTCATGCTGTTTATTATTAAGGATTTACAACCCTGCCACAGAAGAACGTTTTTCCAACAGTTGTACTGCATGTCCAAGGGAAGGATGGTGAATGACATAACAGGAAATGCTAGATTCTTGTGTTACTGATGTGGTCACAAGTGATGGATAACAGTGGACAGATATACTCTTGAAACTGTTAACCCTTCATGTTAAGAATTTGCTGACATCTTCACTGAAAACAAAATGAAACTGGAAACACAGTTTTGTGGCTCACCAGAAGTTTGTATTAATACAGGAAACAAAATGTTTACGAATTTAAGCTTCCATGGTGGTGATAGCATGCAATGAAGTCTTCTCAGG